GGCTGCTGGCAAGGGCCCGTCCTCGGCGGCGCCTGCTGCGCCGGGGCAGCCCCGGCGCCGTTGTCGGCGCGGCGCGGCGCCACGCTCTTGTTCCACTCGCGCTTCACGGGCAGGGCGCCGTCGACGAGCGCGGCGCTGCAGTCCGCCTCGGTGTCCATGACGTAGTCGTGGCCGTCGCCGCAGCCCCACACGGCGCGGATGACGCCGCAGTACTCGGAGGAGAGCACGCTGCGCAGGCCGGGCGCCGAGGGGCAGCCGCCCGCGTGCGCGTGCGCCCAGGCCACCAGGCTGCGCAGGCACTGCGGGCTCGACGTGATCAGGTCGGCTGCGCGGGGGGGACAGGCAGCGCGGTCAGGACGGCCGCGGCACGAGGCGCCCGCGCCGCCGGCGGCACGCGGCTCTACTCACCGAGACAGGAGGCGGCTCCGTCGGCGCCGGGCTGGGCCTGGGCAGCGCTGCTCCTGCAAGAGCGGGGGGCCCGTGAGCAGCTCGAGGACACGCGGGGGCCGCTGCCACCCGCTAGCGCCGCGCGACCCAAAACGCGTCTCGGCGCAGGGACGTGGCGCGCGGGAGCTCCACGGGGAGCCTGGCAACGCGCGGCCGTTCCAGAAAGGAACAAAGAAAGGGGACGTACTTTCCTTTGGCCTTGTGGCCCGTGGGAGACGCGTTCACCCTCTGGATGAAGGCGCGCAGCACGCTGCGGCACTTGTAGAACTGGGCATGGCACTTCTTGCAGACGGACTGGGGCAGCGCGGGGTCCTGCCGCACCGCCACCCCCACGAGCCGCTGGAAGTCCGTGAAGAAGACGTGGTCGACGCGGCGCTGCTTGCCCGAGCTCTCGCCCGGCACGGGCACCTTGCCGAAGGCGTTGCGCAGGCTCCGCGACGAGAACTTGCCGTGGCACAGGCGGCAGTAGCCCGTGCTCAGCGCTCGGCCGGGCCCTGCGAGGGAACGGCGGGACGCGGCTGCCGGCGCTGCCGAGGCCTCGGGGCGYGGATCCCGCCGGCCCGCGCTCCGTCCCACGTGTAAGCGCCAATRATCCCTCTGCAGGGGCTGCCCGAGCCGCACCCGGGCTCCGGGAGCGCAGGGAAGGGCTGCAGGGAGCGGGCCAGGACGGGGGTGTCCGGCATCCCGCCGCATCCGTGCCCAGCCCCGCGGGGAGCCCGGCTGAGCCCCACGGAGAGGCAGCGGAGCCGGGGTCCCCCGCGCCCCGAATCCTGCGGGGAGCCCGGGGCCGGGAT